CTTTGAGAGGCATGAATTTTAATTAACACTTCATGTTTACAACTTAGCTATTAAAAACTCCTACGTTTTGCTGCCCTTCTGTCTGTAAGAAGCATATTTTATTTTGCATACAAGGGAATTTTACTGATGGTATGTGACAAGGTAGGGTTCCCTAGGACCCTCCCCTTCTTCAGGGGGCCTGGGATGGAAACTGTGCCGAGGAAGGGGCATTCTCAGTGTGTTGGGGGACTGAGTTGGGGCAGGGACTCCCCAGCAGCTGAGGGTTTCTTTCTTCCTCTTGTGCTCTCACTGGGGCTGGTGGTCCTTGGAGGCCATGTGGACCATATTCATTGTCATACCAGGAAATGAGCTTGACAATGTGGTCATCGAGGGCAATGCCAGCCCCAACGTTGAAGGTGGAAGAGTGCGTGTCACTGTTGAAGGTGGTGGAGACAGCCTGATCCTCGGTGTAGCCCCGGATGTTCTTGATGTTTTCGTATTCAGCAGCTTTCTCCAGATGGCAGGTCAGATCCATGACTGACACATTGGCAGTGGGGACACAGAAGGCCATGCCAGTGAGTTTCCCATTTGGCTGAGGGATGACCTTGCCCAGGGCCTTGGCAGTGCCAGGAGATGCAGGGATGATGTTCTGGAGAGCCCCATGGCCATCGTGCCACAGTTTCCTGGAGGGGCCGTCCACCATCTTCTGGGTGGCAGTGACGGCATGGACTGTTGTCATGAGTCCCTCCACGATGCCAAAGTTGTGATGAATGACCTTGCCCGAGGGGTAAGCAGTTGGTGGTGCAGGAGCATTGCTGACGACCGTGTGGGTGTTTTTGTAGGTCTCATGGTTCACACCCATCATGAACATGGGGGTGTCAGCAAAAGGGGCAGAGATGATGACCTTTCTGGCTCCACCCTTCAAGTGAGTCCCTGCCTTCTCTAAGGTCCTGAAGACACCAGTGGACTCCACGATGTACTCAGCATCAGCATCACCCCATTTGATGTTGGTGGATTCCCACTCCTGGAAGATGGTCATGGTCTTCCCATTGATGACAAGCTTCCTGTTCTGAGCCTTGACAGTGCCATGGAACTTGCCATGGGTGGAATCATACTGGAACATGTAGACCTTGTAGTTGAGGTCAGTGAAGGGGTCTTTGATGGCGACAGTACCCACTTTGCCAGAGTTAAAAGCAGCCCTGGTGACCAGGTGCCCATTATGGCCAAATCCGTTTACTCCGACCTTCACCATCGTGTCTCATGGAGGTGGCTAGCAATGGTGGGAGGACATGGCTGTCTGGAACCGGGAAGAGCAGAGAGCCAGAAGCATATTTTAAATAGTAAATATAAAAACCAAGATGGGAAAAACTTCCCCAATAATACAAATTGTTTGCTTTTTTTTTTTTTTTTGTCTTTTTCATGACCAGTAAGGGGAACACAACCCTTGGTGTGGTGTCGCCCACACTGCGCTCAGCCAGTGAGCGCACCGGCCAGTCCTATATAGGATCCGAACCTGTGGCAGGAGCGTCGCTGCGCTCCAAGCGCCACACTTTCCTGAGTGCGCCACGGGCTTTCTTGTGTGCATTCTCAAGGGTCTCTTCCAAGCTTAATGCTTGCCTATTTACATTGTTAAGGGGTAATCCTCTGCTAGAGTAGGGCAAAGATGTAAGAAAACACCAGTGAAATAAGTGTTCAAACAATTTTAACAAGAAAAGAAATTCTAAACACAGAATCCATGTTTTGATCTAAAAATGAGCCCATATTGANTATCACAAATCCTTTCATCTTCACCATGCTTTATTTGGTCATGTTTTTTTATGAATTGTGCACTGGTGTTCTTGAAGGCCTTTGCTGTGTTTCTTGAAAAGGAAGATTCCTGGCCTTGCCAACATCTGTGAAGATGCTAACCAAAATCAAACAGAACAAAAGTTATTTACATAAAAATGAATCAATTGATTAAGAATCATGGGGTTTTGCAGTTTCATTATTTGAAACATTGCTTGTTCTTTTAAAGTTTTCCGGATTTTAGGAATCTTTTAAAGCTGTAACACCTTGGTGAAGTATGTGTTTGTGAGCGAAACTGAAACATTTACTTTTCTCTCCATACTTCATCTCTCTAGGATTTTGAAACTGCTCATGAATATTCTTATTTTATGACAGTGTAGTTATTTGCCTAAGTTCAATAAGAATCTGTTCTTGTGGGCCGGTCCGGTGGCGCACTCGGTAGAGTGCGGCACTTGGGAGTGCGGCGGCACTCCCGCCGAGGATTCGGATCCCATATACAGACCGGTCCACTCACTGGTTGAGTGCGGTGCGGGCGCGACACCGAGGGTTGCGATCCCGTTGCCGGTCGCAGTATGGGCGCGACACTGAGGGTTGCGATCCTGTTACTGGTCACGAAAAAAGACAAAAAGGCAGAAAAAAAAAAAAGAATCTGCTCTTGTGACAGGACAGAACTGGAAACACAGGCCACTTCCCCGAGGCTTTGATTGAAGTATCATATTTTCAGATATAACCAGACTGCTTTGAGGAATCGAGGTTGACGTTTTATGGGTCCAATAGAACGCCCCTTGGAAATACTGGCCTGATACCTTTGTCTACATGATTCTGGGGTTCCTGGCTTTGTGGTAGGTAAAAAGTATAACTTTCTGATGGGCTAGAACCTTGTTATTTTGGGGACCTCCAGAAGAGAGAAATTCACCCAACTCATATAGGTANCCATGTTAAAATGAAGATGGTGCAAGGATTCCAACCCATACCCTCACAAGAGGCTCCAGGTCCTTACAGTTCCCCAAAGCAGTCAGTAAGAGATTTTTATGCCCCAAAAGTATAGGCAGGGCTAACATCCACGCACAGCAGGAAGTCGCTTCAGAAGAATGAGACTTCCAGCCCCTTTCTCCTTAAGATTAAGGAGGATAAAATCTCTCA